GGGGGGGGGGGGCCCCTTTTTCCAATAAAGAAAAAAAGGGCCTTAAAAGTTTCCCCCCCCAAACCCCGGTGGCCACCTTTCAAAAAGGGACCCCCCCCCGGGGGGGAGGCCCCCTCGCCCTCTCCTTGGGGGAGTTTTCCGGGTACGGGACGGGGGAGGTTTTTTTCCAAAACCCCCTTCCCCTTTTCCTTTTCCTTCTCCCCCTCCTCCACCTGGGCCCTTTAAAATCCCCCCCCCCCCCCCCCCTCCCCCCTTCTCGTCCTCGTCCTCCCACTCCTCATTCCTCCTCCTCCCCCTCTTGCTCCTCCTTCTCCCCCCCGCCTTTGGTTGCAGCCGTGGCAGGAGGGCGCGGTCAAGCGATACCTTGCAGCAGCGCCACGCTTGCCGCCAGCGAGCAAGGGGTACAACGTGTCGGGGCGCGCCTACCCCGACATCGCCGCCCAGGCAACCGCCGTTAGCGCCGAGCCGTTTGCCCACACACGTCCACGGCACGCCCCACCGACACGTCCATGCCGTGCCCCAGGCGACCAACTTTTGCGTGGAGCCGTTTGGGTGCGGCGTCTCCGGCACCTCGTGCGCCTCGCCGACCGCCGCAGGCGCACCCCTCGCTCTGGCTGCGGGAGAGGGGGCATCGAGCACGAACTTGCCACCCCCCCCCCCCCGCTCCCGCTCCTGAACAGGCATCTTCGCGCTGCTCAACGACGTCCGCCTCTCCGCTGGCAAGGGGACGCTCGGCTTCGTCAACCCGCTGCTGTACCAGAACGCCGCCGCGCTCAACGACGTCACCACCGGCGCCTCGCGCGGCTGCCTCTTCGAGAGCGGCTGGCCGGCCGCTGCGGGGTGGGACGCCGTCACCGGCCTGGGCACGCCGAACTTTGACCGGCTCGCCAAGGTGGTGCTCGCGCTGCCGTGATATGCCGCGAGAGGGCGAGGCAGCGCGCGGCGAGATAGCTGTCCGCTCGCACGGCCGACGCCGCGCCGCGAGATGGGGAACGCAGGGACCGCGCCCTAGGGAGCACGACACCCCGCCGGCGGCCGGCGGCGGCGCGCGGACCCCCCGTCCTTATTGCGTATTGAGCTGCATGCAGTTTAGCACTTTACTCCGTGTGTCCTGCAACTAAAGCCGTACCATTTACTGTAACACATTCTCAAAGCACACAAAGGAAGCGGTAAAAGGTATGGACTATGGTAAGGGAAACTTCTCCACACACAGCTGAGCCTGTGGAAGTAGAGCTGAGGTGTCCACCACCGGCACCGGCACAGCGTGCGCGCCAGCTTCCAGTTACAACTAGAGCAGAGAGGGCGACGGCGGAACACGAGGGGGCAACGGAAACGCTACCAATGACGCGAACCGAGGCACGGGCGACGACGGGGACGGGGAGGGCGACAGCGACGTCGAGGTTGACGCAACGGTATCGAGAGCGCCACCCAAACGGAGTCGGACAGCCATGGAGGTCACCGAATGGAGGGCGAACGGCACGATACGAAAAGGCAGGGCGAGGCGGATGGAGAAAGAAGTGCCGAGGAGGCCATGGTGGAGGGGAGGGACGGGAGGACGAAAGAAGCGCGAGGAGGACGAGCGACCCGCACAGGCCGCGAGCAGACAGCGCCTGCTGGCCACCTCGAGACATTCGCAAAGAACGCTAGCTACATGGGAGGGCTTCGTGAAGGATGGATTGAAAAACATTCGAACAAAGAAAAGGCGACGGGAGGAACCCGCAGAGGATGCAGTGACGTGACACACACACACACACACACACACACACACACACACACACACACACACACACACACACACACACCGCTCACCCACGCGCACCGGGCCTTGCACTTTAAATGCCGTGGGGCTCCTGTCGTTAGACGTGGAGACGCGAGGGTCGCCCCCCCTTGCCCCACCACCTCGTGTGTGGAGAAGTTTACCTTACCTTACCTTCTCTTTTCTCCCAGTAAGCTATAAGTACGTACGTAGGAGAAGATTCTGAGTGCTCCCTCGTGCGACGTCGGGACATCTTCGGCCCCTTCGTACATATATGTGCCGCGCCGCCAACCCCCGCGAAGAAGGAAGTGCTTATCGACGCGCACCACTGCCATCCACTCGTGGATCATGGGCCGCGCTCCTCGTATGCTCTCTCTTGCTGACTGCATTCACCAAGCTTGACAGCGTTGGCCAGCTGCGTGCCGTCCAAGCAAGGACTTGCGTTGTCGTGGGCAGTCAGCAGCACGTGGTTCACCATCACCGCCCTGCGAAATGCACCATGGGATACCGCAACCTGCCGTTCCAAGCGTCAGCCGTCCAAGCTTCAGCGCCTATTCCGTGCGTTCTATCTGAGCAGCCAGGCGCAGCCGCCACTCGCCCGCATCCTTCTCTGGTTCAACCTCGTCCTTCTCGTTACTTGCTGCATGCTGCTACGCCGCGTGGACGGCACCACTCAGCTTTCGTACGACTGGGAGCTAATCTCCGGCGTCAGTTGCTACGTCCCTGCATGTTGCCCGGCGCTGCGCCAACTCATCGACTGGGAGGCAGCGTCAGCTGCATGCCCCTCCCTCTGGGAGTCTCAGTCAGACTCTCGTTCGTTCAGCGACTTGATCTCTCAGCACCTGCCAGCCGGTTCTATGACGCGCTGTGCACCCAACGACCCGACTGTACTAGCGGCGTGGTGCTCGAGCTGGCGGCGCTACTTGTCGGAGGCACCCCTCCTAGCAGCAGACCGCACACCCCCCTACTCGGAGCTAGTAATAAGACTAACTAACATTCTTTCTGCTCGAAAATTCTTTCTGCTCGCGATGTCCGCGCCTAATAGAGCTGTTTCCCTCCAATTCCCTTGCCCCCTCGGACGCTCGGAGGGCCGGACTGAGGCGTCGAGGGCCACCGCCCTCTTTCTTTCCCTCTCTCTCTCTCATAGCGGCCAGTCTTCGGATCGCTGGTCGAGCGACCCGGGGGGATGCCCCGCGCGCCTGACCCAGGCGCGAGAAACGAATCTGCGAGGCGAGGCGCTCATGCGGCCCGATGGGGGGAGGGACGGGGCGGAATGAAGATCGGCCCACTCGCCCCTCGAGACCTCGAGATCCACAACCGTTCCCGTTTGGCGCCCGGCCGTCAACTGCCATGGCGACCTCGTGCGCCTCCGCCCCCAGCTCCTCCTTCTTCCCGAACGCGGATCGGTCGAGGCACAGCCGCTTTGCCTCGCCGCCCTTCGCTTCTCGCTCCAGCGCCGCCGCCGCTCCCGCTGTGTCTGCGCCAGCCGTCCCGCCGTGGGAGGGGCTCCGATACGTGGCGCCTGAGGACGGTGAGGCCTTGGCCACGGCGAGCCGGCTTTGCCCACCGCTCTCGCCGGCGCTCTGGGACCGCACGCCGCACGGTGCGCCGCTGGCGCTGCGTCCGCCCACGCCGCGGCTCGCCCTGCCAGCGGCGCTGCTCCACACGCTCGCGGAGCAGGCACTCGGCAGCCGGCGCGGCGCGGCGGAGAGCGCGTGGCTGCTCCTCGATCCCGACGAGGACAACGGATCGCCGCTGCGCGGCTGGACCGCGTCTTGCGACGCCGCATGCCGCCGGCTCAAGCCCGTCGATCTACGTGCGGTGCGGCTGCAGTCCGAAGGCGGCGGCGGCGGCGGCGGAGGCGGAGGCGGAGGCGGAGGCGAGCCTGGCAGGCGGGCGGCGGCGCCGCTGCTCGCGCGCGGATGGCCGTCCGACGGCGCGACGCTCGGCGGCACCGTTGCCGACTACGCGGAGATGCTCGATGCGCTCGACGACGCGCTCGACGTCTCCTCGCCGCTGCGCGCCGACTCGCCGGTCTCGATGCAGGTGCGCGCCTCTCCGACCGCGTAGCAGCAGCCCCCTCCGCTGCGTGGCCAGGAGGCGCGGCGGCATCCCCGCCCGACGGTCTTGTCCACCCCGCCGTGCGGCGGCGTTGCGTGCAGGTTCTCGTCGCCGCAGCGGCCGACCGTTCGCAGCTTCTCCTCAAGGCTGAGGCCCTCGCCCCTAGATGCGGAGTATCTCCCCATATCTCCCCACATCTCCCCCATCTCTCGAGGCCTAGATGCGGAATCGGAGCCGTGGAGGAGCACTCGAGGGGACGAGCACTTCGGTATTCGGCGGCACTGGGCTGCCCGGCGGTGTTCACACAAAAACACAACCACGGCCCCAAGACGCACAAGCTCAGACAGTCGAGACAGGGAGAGAGACCGCGACGGCAGTCAGAAGTCAGTACTGGGCCCCAGGAAGGCGAATGCGAGGACGGCCTCTAGTGCGAGCTCTAGCTAGCGGTGTTCACCGCATCCGTCTCTTGCGTGTGCACGCGATGCGCAAAGAGCACCGCGCGAGGCTGACGTCGAGCCCCAGACCTGGGTGTGTTGGCCCAGGCCCTCCTCCCGTCCCTGCTGCTGCGCGCGACGCCGCTCTTCGCGCTGCGAGTGCTGCCGTCGCCGCTCTCGCAATCGCTCTCCCCGGCGGCGGGGCGGCGGCGGCGCGCCACCGGCTGGCTGCCCTAGAAGCGGAAGACGTGTACTCATGTCTCCCAACTAGCGCTCGAGAGGACACGTACTCCGCCGCATCCCGCTGTACTCGTAGCCCCTCGTCTTCACGCGGCCCTCTGAATGCACTGCAATCACCGCCTTCCCGCCCCGAGGTTGGCGTATTCAGCGCGTAGGCTCGGTCAGCTGTCTCCCGTTTTCTACCGCACCACCCACGGGACTGAACCCACACTGGATTCGACCACTCTGGAGGTGTGGTACACGTAGGCTGGCTAACGCTCGAGCAGTCGCGCAAGCTTGTCCTCCTCGGCGAGCGCGAGCCGGCGGTGTCGCAGGTTGCATCTCGGCTGCATCTCGGCGCCGCATCTCGGCTGCATCTGCGCTGTACACCTCGGCGCTGCATCTCGGCTGCATCTCGGCTGCACTTCGGCTGCATCTCGGCGCTGCATCTCGGCTGCATCTGCGCTGTACACCTCGGCGCTGCCTCTCGGCTGCATCTCGGCTGCACTTCGGCTGCACTTCGGCATCTCGCGCTCCATCGCGAGCCGCTCGCGTTCGCAGGTGCCGCTCGTCGGTGTTTGGGTGACGGGCGAGGCGCGCAAGCAACCTGACACACGCGCACGCACGCACGCAAACGTTACACACACACACACACACACACACACACACACACACACACACACACACACACACGCACGCACACGCACGCAAACGTTACACACACACACACACACACACACACACACACACACACGCACGCACACGCACGCAAACGTTACACACACACACACACACACACACACACGCACGCACACACACACACACACACACACACACACACACACACACACACACACACACACACACACACACACACACACACACACACACACACACACACGCACACACACACACGCACACACACACACACACACACACACACACACACACACAAGCGCGTCAAAGAGCGCGTTACCGCCACCTGGCAGCTCCGGTTGCCTGGCAGCTCTCGCCCTCTATCTCACTCCGTCTGCCTACCAGTCCCGCACTTGCACACCCCTCACTGGACGGCGTGGCGAGATTTGGCGAGGTGCAGCGAGATATCGCGAGATGCAGCCAGCTCATGCCTGGGGGATGCCCTTGTTGCACGAGCCCTGTCCGCCTGCCCAGCTGACTGTGCCGTCCAGGTTTGTTTGTTTGCTGTCACAGACTGTCGGACCAGGGCTCAGCATACTCCTGTCCCCGCCGCCACCGCGTGCCGTCTGGGTACACTCCCTGACCCGCACCACCAACCCACACCCTGCCGGCTCACGCTGCCAGCTGAAAGACGAAACCACGCTACGGGGCGGGCGCGGGTCCCCGAACCCACACTTGGGACCACACTTCGGCACATATGCGGTGTGAGTACGCCCCGTCCCGTCCCCATACTTTGACCTGGTAGCAGATGCACTGGGGAAAGCGAGCACTTCACGCCCCGCGCCCGCCATGTGCTATGGGTCCCCCAGTGTGCGCTGCAGGCATCTCTCGACTCGCCCTACGTGTGGGCGGCGACCGCCCGCTTCTCGAGGCTGGCCGCGCCGGCAGTCACAAAGGCGGGGCCCGGCGGCGCCTTCCTCCTCCTTGTCTACCAGACGCCGCCTGCGGGGGAACCGGCGACCGCCCCTCCCTCCCACGGCCGTGCCGCCGCCGCCGGCGCCGCCGTCGCCGCCGCCGGAGCTGCCGGCCGTCGTCGCTTCCGCGATGGCGGCGGAGGGCGCAGCGGCGTGCGGAGTGTCTCTCGCAGCTCCGCCAGAGCGGCCGCCGCCGCCACCGCCGCCGTTGTGCGCGGCTGTGGTCGCGGCGGCACACAGCGGCGACCCAGCGCCGCGGGCGGGCCCGCCGGAGTCGCTCGAGACTCTCGAGGCCGCGGAGCTCTACCGCACCGCGCGGGCGGCGGGGGAGGCTGGCTCCCCGCTTGTGCCTCTGGTGGTTGCGCTGCAGCGGCAGGTGGTGGCACTCGTCGCACACGGCGGCGAGCGCGACCGCCAGATCGCCGCCATGGGCGATCGGCTGGAGAAGCTAGAGACGGCTCTGCTCGTCGCGAACGCCAGGCTTGCGGCTGCCGACGCCGACGCCGCCGCCGACGCCGACGCCGCCGACGCCGACGCCGCCGACGCCGCGCTATCGGGCGGTGGCGCTGGCAAGGCGAGGGTGGCGGCGCAGACAGGCCCCGAGCCCTCACGCGTGCAAGAAGAGGGCGTGGCGCTGGAGACCGCCTCGCGGGTGCGGGAGGACGGCTCGCCCCGGGAGCCGATCTCGGCCGAAGTTGCGGGACTGCGTTCGGCCCTCGGTGGGGTGGCTGGTGAGGTGGCTGCGGAGGAGGGGGCGGCCGGTTCGTGGACCGGCGCCGGTTTCGGCCGCGGCTCCTTCGACGGCGTCCGCTGCGGCGGCGGCGAGCTCTCCGGCTCATGCGGCGGCCTGCCCGGGAGTGGGCGCGACGCTGGGGACGAAGGGGCCCTGAGCGGAGGCTACTTCGGCGCCAGACACCCGTTGCGAGAGGGGGTTGGGTGGGCGCGGGCAAGGGGGGTGCCACCCGTCCGCGCCTGCGCCTAGGCGACGACATGTACGCGGAGATCCCTCGGATCGTGTTCGAGGCGCGGGAGGGACGATCCTACGCCCCCGCCCACCCCGGCACTCCCAACCCCGGCACTCCCAACCGCGACTGACGGCGTCCTCACGCCGCACCAGGAGCTCAGCGACGACCATTCCGACGACGACGACGACGACGACACCACAGAGGGTTCTGTGGCTGTGGGCATGCACGGCGGTGACGCAGAGGCGGCGTCGGCGATGACAGCAAGCGACGGGGCGGGTCGCGACAGCGACGCGGGCGACGCTCCAACCTTTGCTGACGGCGCAGAGGAGGAGATCCAGCCGTAGGTAGGCTCGTGGCTCGGCTGGGCGATAGCACCACACTCCTCTCCTTATCCAGCCCACTACTTCTCTTCCACCTGGTGGTGCGATGGGCTCCCTCCCGCGGGCTGTCAGCGCGCTGTCAGCCCTCTGTAGCATCAGGTGCAAAAGGAAAGAGTGGGCTGAAAAAAAACACGGAATTATGTATGTAAAAGAGGAATGCAGTCGAGAGGACAGCCGACAGGCAGGGGAGGGTACAAGTTGACAACTCTAAAAACTCTCCCTCTTGCGGACCCTAAGCCTTCGCTTGCCGGAGAAGGTGGTGGCTATGACTTTGGACCTTTGCGAGATGTGGCGAGCGAGCGGACGGAGCAAGAGCGCTGAGCAAGAGCGGTGTAGGCGCGTCCACGCGGCGCAGCGGCTCTCCCGCGACCACAGCCCCTCCCGGCGGCGCGCGCAGCGCGCGGGGCGTTTTTTACATGCAAACGGGACGGCCTGCGCAGCGTCTATCCCATCTCGTCTCAGAGTTTGACCGTGTGATTGTGGACGCGCCCGCCGGGCGGGAGCCGCTTGATATTCCTGTGGATTCCCGCGTTCCAGCGGCAAGCGCGCGTTTCTCGCGTTGACGGCCAGCTTTCGGCGGTTCGGCGGTTCTACCGGCCATGCTTGCATCGCTGCGCCGGCTTGGCGCGTGCCAGATCCGCGCCACCAAGCTCGCCACTCCACCATGCGGAGCACACTCGACGGTTGGCGTGCCGCTGGCTCCTAGGTGGCTCAGCCTTGCCTCTCAGCTCCACTCGGGGCGGAGACCCAATCCGAGCCGCGTGCCACTCATGAACGAGCTCCGGAGTGTGCGGGAGGTGCTCGACGTGCACGAGAGGTGTGCAGCAATAATGCGGCCAATCGATGTGAGCGCTTGCTGGAACTCGCTCGGCAAGCTCGTGCGTAGAGACCCACGAGAGCGCGCTTGGCTCCGTGACGAACTGCGTAGGCGGCCTCAGACGCTTCAGCCACTCCTCGACTCGGCACTTGAAGTGCTGCCACGTGCAACGGCACAACCAGTTGCCAACGTCGCGCATGGGCTAGCGGTGGTGGGTGACAGGGTGGGGTTTCACGCGAACCCTGAGGTGTGGCGTACGCTGGCCAAGGAGGCAGTGCCGCGGCTGCGCGACTTCACGCCGCAGGCGCTCGCCAATACGGTTTGGGCGTTTGCGACGGCTGGCGTGCCGGCGCCTACGCTGTTTGCGGCGATGGCGAAGGAGGCGGCGCCGCGGCTGCGCGACTTCACGCCGCAGGCGCTCGCCAATACGGTTTGGGCGTTTGCGACGGCTGGCGTGCCGGCGCCTACGCTGTTTGCGGCGATGGCGAAGGAGGCGGCGCCGCGGCTGCGCGACTTCACGCCGCAGGCGCTCGCCAACACGGTTTGGGCGTTTGCGACGGCTGGCGTGCCGGCGCCTACGCTGTTTGCGGCGATGGCGAAGGAGGCGGAGCCGCGGCTGCACGACTTCAAGCCGCAGAACCTCTCCAACACGGTTTGGGCGTTTGCGACGGCTGGCGTGCCGGCGCCTACGCTGTTTGCGGCGATGGCCAAGGAGGCGGAGCCGCGGCTGCACGACTTCAAGCCGCAGAACCTCTCCAACACGGCGTGGGCGTTTGCGACGGCTGGCGTGCCGGCGCCTACGCTGTTTGCGGCGATGGCCAAGGAGGCGGAGCCGCGGCTGCACGACTTCAAGCCGCAGAACCTCTCCAACACGGCGTGGGCGTTTGCGACGGCTGGCGTGCCGGCGCCTACGCTGTTTGCGGCGATGGCGGAGGAGGCGGCGCCGCGGCTGCACGACTTCAAGCCGCAGGATTTCTCCAACACGGCTTGGGCGTTTGCGACGGCTGGCGTGCCGGCGCCCACGCTGTTTGTGGCGATGGCCAAGGAGGCAGTGCCGCGGCTGCGCGACTTCACGCCGCAGGCGCTCGCCAATACGGTTTGGGCGTTTGCGACGGCTGGCGTGCCGGCGCCTACGCTGTTTGCGGCGATGGCGAAGGAGGCGGCGCCGCGGCTGGGGGAGTTCAATGAGCAGGGCCTCTCCAACACGGTTTGGGCGTTTGCGACGGCTGGCGTGCCGGCGCCTACGCTGTTTGCGGCGATGGCGAAGGAGGCGGTGCCGCGGCTGCGCGACTTCACGCCGCAGGCGCTCGCCAACACGGTTTGGGCGTTTGCGACGGCTGGCGTGCCGGCGCCTACGCTGTTTGCGGCGATGGCGAAGGAGGCGGAGCCGCGGCTGCACGACTTCAAGCCGCAGAACCTCTCCAACACGGTTTGGGCGTTTGCGACGGCTGGCGTGCCGGCGCCTACGCTGTTTGCGGCGATGGCGAAGGAGGCGGTGCCGCGGCTGCGCGACTTCACGCCGCAGGCGCTCGCCAATACGGTTTGGGCGTTTGCGACGGCTGGCGTGCCGGCGCCTACGCTGTTTGCGGCGATGGCGAAGGAGGCGGCGCCGCGGCTGCGCGACTTCACGCAGCAGAACCTCGCCAACACGGCGTGGGCGTTTGCGACGGCTGGCGTGCCGGCGCCTACGCTGTTTGCGGCGATGGCCAAGGAGGTGGAGCCGCGGCTGTGCGAGTTCACGCCGCAGGCGCTCGCCACCACGGCGTGGGCGTTCGCCGTTGCCGACGTGCTGGCGCCGCAGCTCTTTGGCCCTGCGTTTGCCGCACGCTGCGAAGCTCTCCCTCTTGACCACGAAGGTCTGAGGCAGTTGCACCAGTGGCAGCTCTGGCTCGCCGAGCGTGGCCTCGCCACCCCGCTCTCGGCGCCGTTCTCGGACCGCTGCCGCAATGCATTCGTGTCAGGAGGGGTGCACGTATCGAAGCTGCAGCGGGAGGTTGTCTCCAGCTTCTCCCGGCTCGGATTCTCGGCGGAAGAGGAGGTGCTAACCGAGTCTGGCTACTCGCTCGACGCCGTCATCGAGCACGGCGGCGCTCGCATCGCCGTCGAGGTGGATGGGCCCTCCCACTTCATCGGCCAGGAGCCCAGCGGCGCGACGCTCCTGAAACGGCGGCAGCTGCGCAGCTTCGGCTGGCCCCTTCTCTCGGTGCCATATTGGGAGTGGACTGCGCTGGGCGGGAGCCCGGAGCGCCAAGGTGCTTACCTGCAAGATGCGCTGGCTCGTGAGGCGCTTCCAGCAGCACAGTCCGGTAGCGCGCCACCCACATCTTCAGCCTCAGAGCCTGCAGGTGAGTTGTGCGCTCTCACCGTCCCTCAGCTCAAGGAGCGGCTCCGTGAGAAGGGCCTCCGCGTCTCCGGCCGCAAGGCCGAGCTCATTGATCGCTTGCTGGTATGCTCCGCAAGGGACTGCAGCTCTTGTTGAGCCTATTGTGTAGAGTTGTAGGCTAGAGACACACACATTGTACAGCATGTGTGTGTGTAGCTGTACCTGTAGGACCATACGTGGGAGAGACGGCGCAGAGGGGGGTTGGCCGCGCCTTGTTTCTTTTTTGGCAAGGCCCGGTGCAGGCGCGCGCCGCCGCCTTCCTCACACCGCCGAGCCTCCACACCTCACACCACTCGCGCAGGCCGCAGTGCGCAGAGCTTTCGCGCGCCGCGGCACCCCCTTGCCCCTCCCCGGCAGCCAACTCTTTTCTTGCGACGTTGCTCTAGCTAAAAGGGCGTGACCACACCTGCGTCACCACCGGCCGGTATGCCCCTCGCCGGCGGCGCGCGGTAGTGCCGTTCCATAAAGCGGGCGAGCATGCGAGCGGTGGGTGCGGGTCGCTCGTACGCCAGGCAAGCGCGGCTGCCCAGTACAATCGCGGAGCACTCTCGCGCGGGCAAACGCGCGCGTGAGAGCAATTCCTCGGCCTTCGTCGTCGCGTTCTCCAGGCCTCCATAGTCGCCGCGCAGCAGCTGGAGCGGCACGTCTAGCGAGTCGAACACGTCGGTGCGCTCGTCCCGCCACGCGCCGCCGGGAGGGATGGAGCCGCAGAGGTACGAGAAGGTCGAGAAGCGGCTCCGCGCATCGAGCGCCGGCGATGCACTGATTCACCCACTCGGCGCCGACGTCGGACTCGGAGGCGAAGAGCGACCGCTCGGTGAACTCGCGGATCCGCGCGCCGGGAGGAGACCCTCCTCGGAGCCTCCGGAAGAAGAGGTTTCCGGCGGGCGAGCAGGAGGCCGCCCAGAGGAGCCGCTGCGTCCTTCGAGAGAACTTTCGCGAGTCGGCTCCCTTGGAGAAGAAGCGGAGCGGCGGCGGCGACAGCAGCGAGACGCCGGCCACGGCTTCGCGCCCCGATCGCCGCCACACCTCGAGGGCGCACGGAAGCAGCCCGCCCTGCACAACGAGCACGCTCGGCGTCTTAACATGCTCGCGCAAGTAGTCGTCGAGCTGAGCCGCCCACACCTCTGGTGAGTAGAATCGGCGCGGCTTGGGGCTCGCGTCGCCCGTTCCGAGCAGGTCATACGAATGCATCGCTGCCGGAGAACCGAGGGCGTGCCACTCCTGGTGCAGCCGGTTGTAGAAGGCGCGGTCGATACCAACCCCGACCGGAGGCAAGAGCACGAGAGGAGGCACCGGAGCGCCGTGACCCGCCGGCTGGACCTGCGCGCTGAAGAACTCGCGGCCGCGGTGGACCACACGCCTCGTGCTGTAAGGCGGGACGGCGGTGCTGCTGTGCGCTAAAGACAGGGCAGTAGGCGCGGTGGAGGTCAGCGCGGTGAGCATGTACGTATGGTGGCCAGTCGTCTCCGACTAGGTCTCGAGCTGGCGAGGTACTACCTCGACTCCCAGCCTGGCTGTGGGACAGCTGACAGAGGGCCCACTTTCACGAAAACCGCGAGATTTCCCGAGATCACACGAGATGATCCGAGATTTCCCGAGATCACACGAGATGATCCGAGATGGCCCGAGATCACACGAGATGATCCGAGATTTCCCGAGATCACACGAGATGATGCGAGATTGTCCCGAGCACGTCCCCGTTCACACCTACACACGGGTAATCAACTCCGCTCCCCCCCTGGCAACCACAACCACGTCGGGCGTGGTTGTGGCAACTCATGATCGAACCAGCGACTCATAGAGTCGAACCACGACTCATAGAGTCGAACAGGACCACGGCGGACGTGGTAGTGGCAACCACGGCGGAGGGCGGACGTGGTTGTGGTCGGTCATGATAAAACCGGAAAGGAATAACAAAAGCCACCCCCTGTGGCTTGTGGTGTGGGCGCGCTTGGCAGGGTCTCGTGTTCACATTGTTGTTCGTTCACGCATGATTTGTCGCACATCGGACTTGGAGCACTTGGAGTGCAGTCAGCAACCGCACATCCAGGGCCGGGGAGCTAAGAAGCGCACCCAGCGGGCCGGATGATTGGCATCGGGTTACGGGCAAGAAAGCCCTAGCCCCGGGGGTGCGCGTTCGCAGGGAAAGGGCCTTAAAGTAAACACGGGTCCCCGAGGGTTGGCTCTGCGCTCCGGGTTTCCCCTAGCAGCGGAACGCCCCGTCTACTCGGGGCTAGTAGACACCAGACACTAGCACGACAACACACACATTCCTCACTGACATCACCGCTCGGAACCCCCCGCTCCGCGCACGGTCTCCTCACTCCCCTCCGAGGGGGGGCCCTCCCTCCCCTCGGTCCTCCCTCCTGTTCGCCTTCCGATGGTCACGTGACGGCTGTGGGGCCCGGCCTCCCCTCCTAGCCTTCTTGGACTTTTCTGGTTCTCATTTTCACATTCTGCCCGGCATGCGGCAAAGGGGGAAGAGATTTCGTCGTGATTTCTTGTTGGTTTTCTAAAATCTCTCTCTCTCAAAGGGGCGTGTCTGCAGTAGTCTACGAACTACGTTGGCACTTGGCAGATTTGTACTAGGGGTGTCCGAGGATACCGCACATGCTTAGGACCGAACCCGCCTGCAACGGCGCCTTTCGCTGGGACTAAAAAATGGCCGCCCGCAAGCGCGCCCGCACCGCCGGCGACGGCGATGAGGAGGGCGAGGCTGTGCCGGTCGCGGATGGCTTCGAGGCGCCCATCTTTGGCGCCCGCGTCGTCGGACAGGTCACCACGCTGGCGCTCGAGGGCGAGGACGCCCCTCCGGCATCGCTCCTGCGTGCCGTCGCAAGCGATCGCGCAGGCGGCTGGTACGTCACGACTAAGGAGGGCTCGCTGCTGCATATGTCGGCGGCCGGGCGCATCCGCACCGTCGCGACCTGCGAGGGTTGCCGTGGTATTGCCCTCAGCCCCGACGGTGGCGCGTTGTTTTTGGCGGACTTTGGCAACAACAAGATCCTGCGGGCAGAGGTGGCGACAGGCGCGGTGACGACTGTCGCGGGCAGCGGCACTGCTGGCAGCGCGGATGGCATGGGCGACGCGGCCCAGTTCAACGCCCCATATGGCGTCACCATCAGCCCGGACGGCAGCGCGCTGTTTGTGGCGGACTACGGCAACAACAAGATCCGGCGCTTGGAGGTGGCGACGGGCACGGTGACGACTGTCGCCGGCAGCGGCGCTAGGGGCATCGGTGATGGCGTGGGCGGCGCGGCAGAGTTCCACAGCCCGTCTGGCGTCACCATCAGCCCCGACGGCAGCGCGCTGTTTGTGGCGGAGTTCGGCGGCCACAAGATCCGGCGCGTGGAGGTGGCGACGGGCGCGGTGACGACTGTCGCGGGCAGTGGCACTTCTGGCAGCGCTGATGGCGTCGTGGGCGACGCGGCCCAGTTCAACGGCCCACACGGCCTCACCATCAGCCCAGACGGCAGCGAGCTGTTTGTGGCGGACTGCTGGAACAACAAGATCCGGCGCGTGGAGGTGGCGACGGGCGCGGTGACGACTGTCGCGGGCAGCGGCACTACTGGCAGCGCTGATGGCGTGGGCGGCGCGGCGGAGTTCTCGCGCCCAATCGGCGTCGCCCTCAGCCCCGACGGCAGCGCTCTTCTGGTCCGCGCGGGAGGTTCTCTCCGCCAGGTCTGCGTGGCTGCGCCTCCTCCGCCTCCCTCCTTTGCGCCGATTGTGGTGCCGCCCTCGACCCTCGTGGCAGACCTGAAGAAGACGCGGGGCGACGCCAGCCTCCCCGACGGCAAGGTCACCTTCATCGTCGGCGATGACGAGGAGCGCATCGAGCACGTGAGCAAGAACCTGCTCTGCGTGCGGTCCGAGTACTATGGGAAGATGTTTGGCATCGGCATGAAAGAGCGCGACGCCGCCGAGATCACGGTGCCCAAGACGGACCTCGCCAGCTTCACCGCCTTCATCGACTACCTCTGCACCGACCAGCTCGACCTCGGCGAGGGGGAGGGCGAGCAGGCGCGGCGCGCGCTCGTGCTGCGGGAGCTGGCGCAGATGTACCAGGTGCCGCGCCTCGAGCTGCTCTGCGCGCAGGCGCTGCAGGAGAGCGTCGGGCCGGCGAGCGCCGTGCCGCTGCTCGAGGCTGCGCACACGACGGGCGACGGGCGGCTCCTCGCGCAGTGCCGCCGTTTCGTGGCCGACCACGCCGCAGAGGTGCGGGCGAGCGGCGGCGTGGAGCAGCTGCGCGACCTGGGCGTGGCCAAGGGGCTGCTCGGCGACGCGCTCGACCAGGTGGCGGAGCTGAAGATGGGGGCGGCGCGCACGGCGGCGGGCCAGAGGGCGGCGCCCTAGTTTCTGGGTTGCATGTGAGCGCGTTGGAGGGCGACGCATTGACATGGCACCGGAGCGCGGCGCGCATTCGTTTGTCGGTGCGCGTACGGCATAGGGCCAAAAGTGAGTTTGATTGATTTGCTGCTTCTGCTACGGCGCCTTTAGTCGTTTCTGGAGATATGCCAAAAGTATACACGCGGTTCTGTGTGCTATTGAAGTGGCCCGAAGGCGCGCAACACGTGTGTAGAGTACACGTGATCGGAATAGTTACGTATACGGAAACGACTGATGTCGTGTGATGTCCCTGATGAGTGATGTGCGGCCGCCCGGCGGCCCGGCCGCGCCTCTCTCGAGCAGCCGTAGCAGCCCCATATCGGCTCTACCCTCTACCCTCTTGCCTCTATGTCTGACTAAGCATCCTCTACTATAGCGAGTCCGCGCCTACGCGAACGGCCGCGGCCCGCGACGGCGCACGGGCGCAGGGCGATCCGGCGCCTGGCCTGGGGGTTGCCCGACCAGTGTGTCTGTGAGGTGGCTCAGAAATGCGGCGAGACCGCCGCCGCCGCGTCCGCCCGCCGCCTCCCTTCCTCTGGCCGCCTCGCCGTGCGTCCAGTTGAGCGCAAAGCGGCTGACTGCGCCGCGCCGGCTCTCGGGCGGCAGCACGATCGTCGCTGAAGTTGACGCGCAGGGGGGTGAGCGACAGCCAGCGCCCGCCGGCGGCGAGGTGCACGGCCTAGGCGGGCGGTGTTCGGACGTGTCGTGGCCGTGTCTTGGCCGTGTCTGTCGGGCGGCGGAGGAGGGCTGCGCTGCGCCTCTGTGTCGAACAGGATCGGGCTGCTTGTGGCCGGATCGAGCTCGAGGCCCTCAGGCGGCAGCTAGCGGACTCCGTCGCGGCCGGGGAGGCAGCGATGGCGGCCGCACTTAAGGCGGCAGCGGAGGAGCGCGAGGCGGCCCTAGCAGAGCACGAGGCGGCCGTCACGGTGGCGGTGGGGCAGGCGGTCGAGGCGGCAGCGGAGGAGCGCGAGGCGGCCCTGCAGGCTGCCGCTGCCGCAGCAGCGGCTGAGCGCGAGGCAGCCTTGCAGGCTGCGGCTGAGGCGGCGGCCGCAGAGCTCGAGGCTGCTCTGCAGGCTGCCGCTGTAGCTGCAGCGGCTGAGCGCGACGTGACTCCAACACGGTGTGGGCGTATGCGACTGCGGGCGTGGCTGCGGACGCGCTGTACGCGGCGGTGGCGGAGGCGGCGGTGCGTGGCGGGCTGGCTGGCTTCAACGCTCAGGACCTGTCCAACACGGTTTGGGCGTATGCAACGGCGGGCGTGGCTGCGGACGCGCTGTACGCGGCGGTGGCGGAGGCGGCGGTGCGTGGCGGGCTGCTGGCTTCAAGCCTCAGAACACCTGTGTCCAACACGGTGTGGGCGTATGCGACGGCGGGCGTGGCTGCGGACGCGCTGTACGCGGCGGTGGCGGAGGCGACGGTGCGCGGCGGGCTGGCTGGCTTCAACCCTCAGGCCCTGTCCATCACGGTGTGGGCGTATGCGACGGCGGGCGTGGCTGCGGACGCGCTGTACGCGGCGGTGGCGGGGGCGCGGCGCGGTGGCGGG